GATGCTGTGATTCCGGAGATTTTTAAGGGGGTGTGGCTGCGGCTGCTCAAACAAAAGCCAAAAGTTATGCCGAAAATGATATTTTTCATTATTAAACACAATAATGTGGTTATTATTTTTATGATTGCGGTTGCCCGCTCCTCTGGCTACAGGCTTCTGGCTCCTGGCTGGCAATTCCTTGTGGAAGGACTGGCGCGCTGCATTCATTCGGTTAGTTTGTTTATGTTGGGCTTGTGGTCTTTGGGGATTTGGGCACGCTTAATTTTAAGTGCCCGGCGAAATGGCGGTGAAGGAAAAGCGCAGCATGTAATGAAATATTATGGCTTGACCAGGACGAGAGTGGAAACGGAAACGAAACGGCTTGCTCTCTTCTGTTTGCCCGGCGGATGGGCGAAACAAAGAAAAACATTTGCGCCAAATGGTTTTTGAGGTAATTAAATCGGGGAGGTGACTACAGAGATCCGAACCATTCCGTATTCTGTTCTATTTTAAAACATAGACCCCGTCCCCAGGCCCGCCGCACCGAGAATATCTCAGCACGCTCCTAGGAGCGAAGAATTATGATCCATGGCAGCAGCCGGATTCGGTTTCGGTTTCTCACGCACTACCCAACGCCTCTAATAAGGCAATTAATCAATATAATTACCAGCGATTAATCATAAGTCAGCCAGCAACACTCTGATGACAGTTTTGGGCGTTTAGCCGAAACTTTAAAAAACTAAATTGGGAATCGGAGGCAAATAAATCAGTGCCCCGCTGCCAGGACATGCTCACTGAACTGTTCGGTAGCAGCGGAAAAAAAATCCATCAATCCCCTTGAACTGTCAAAGCCACAAAGAAGCATCCAACAAATTCCCGTAAATCCTTCGCCGACTGCTTCCAATTCGAGAGTTTTTTCGGCTGCTTAAAAATTAAACAATCTTTTGAAGGCTGCACCCAGTCGACACCCTTTCAGTGGCTGTCAGCTATGTAGAGCGTGTGTGCTTAGCATCTCATTGACCCGTGGAAGCCACAAAAGGATGAAAGCAGCTCTGGCTAATCAGTTTAAAACGCTGTCACGGCCGGAGTCTGTCTCTATCTCCGCTTTCTATCCCTCACTCCATCCGAAGGCACTTCCAGTGTGTGAGATCTGCGGCACATTTTAATTTGTAATTCGAGTCGAAATTGGGTGTAACTTAGACACGCTGCCATGCAATTTGGGTGTGGATTACAGACAACTATGGATGGATGAGGTGACGCGTTGAAAGTCCCACCTGGACTCGAAATCCGGAGTTGGAGTTGCACTGCCTAGGGGTACTAGTTGGGATGCAGAACGGATCAAACCACAAACACATGTGTGAAAGTGTTACTAAGTTCGGGGTCTGAGAAAATAGATGGGAAAGGTTTCTATGTCTTAATCTTCTAATCCTTTTAAAATGGAAGAATGGAAGCTCAAAACCCAAGAATATTCTCGTAAAATATTCCATTAATTTGCCTCCCATCCTTACATCCTTCAGATAGTTGCTCCATCAATTTTCTTGACCTTTCCCTGCTCCTTCCTTGGGTATTCAATTGAGAAGGAAATCAAATCGAATATCCGCAAATTGCTTTCCCTGGCAGGGAGTTAGTAATCTCTCGATTATGCCATCGCCAAATCCAGAAACTTTAATGACAAACCCAATTTACCACTGACAGGACAATAAATCACTGGCAAAATGACGCTGTCAAAGACCGAGTGACACGGAGAAAAACAAAGCATAAAAACACAACAGAATAAGAGAAAAAACGGTGAAGGACCAGCAGTCCCAGCGATAAAAACAATGCCACAAAACAATTTCCAAGAGGCAAAGGACTCGGAAGTGGAGCGGTGGAGGCGAATCCGATGCCACGCTCATCCGCATGCTGACCAACATGACTGAGGCGTGAGCCGTCCCTGTCCCACCTTCCAGGACCCCCAAGGACAACGCCCACACACGCCGGCACATTGATAAAGGTGTGGAAACGTGCGATTTTGTAATTGATACTAAAAAGCCCTTAATTGGCACCTTAACGCTGCTGATGCTCTGACAAATTTCCCCCAAGGACCAAGGACCAGTGACAAGGGCCGTTCCTGGCGTTGACATGCGTGGGTTGGCCAAGGATATAAGGGGGTGGGATTAGGCTAGGGACTGGGTTTGGCTTTGGCATCGGGCCTGGAGCTAGGGCAGGGGCGCGATGGCTGGTAATCGGATGCCTTTTAGGTAATAGAGATGCCGCAATCAAAGGCGACGAAAATCGGTGCCACATTATGCCGCATAATCATCGTCCTTCGGCATCATCCACGTCATGTGACCATGTGGAATATCAAATCCCGGCGAAGCCAGAACAAATGGCACTAATCCATAATTGTCTGGCCGCTGGTCAAGTGGGACTTGAGCCAATAAATCTCATCAAACTAATTCGATACGTGGCGGCCGGTACTTGTGTGTGTGCCAGTGTGTGCTTTGCCCGGCAAGGACTCGAGCGGAAGTCCAAGGATGCTGCAGCAGCCATAGCCGGCCATAGCAGGAAGAGCCACATCCACCCTTGTGGTTTTTGCTACTTGTTAGCCAGCCTGTTGTCATTTGTTAACATTTCATTACATTTATTTCACCGGACACAATTGCAAAGTGGATGAATGGATTTGCCGTTTGATGTCGCTCCGAGGACTCGATATCCTCGGTCTCATCCTCTGGAATTTATTCGTGTGTGTGCGCTCGCACTTATTTGCTCTCAAACCAATTTGTTTTATAATTGAATTTGAAATTGAAGATGACATTCGGTTTCCGATTGTTTGGCGTGCGGTTCTACAGCCGCAGGCCACTCGGCAGGCCACGCCCCCCGTGTCCTCTGACCCGCTGACCCGACCTCAGCTGTCTATGTGTTTGGGTTTTAGGCAAATGTATGCAGGGCATCCTCTTCTTGCTTGACCAAAAATTCAATTATGTATAAAATTTCACAACCATTTTTGGGATGACTTTCGGAAAAACTCGATTTTCTATTTAATTTGCTTTCAAGTGGCATGGCGGTTGCCGCTCTGGTCACAGGTCAGATTCCCCAGTGAGTGCTAGCTCACAAACATATGCGTGCACTTTGACCTCGAGGTGATATTCGCATCGGCAAATATTGTTTGGCACACCGAGTGGTTTTTGGGATATTATTCATGCATCATTTGATTTTGCGGCTATTTCGATTGATTTATTCGCATTACCATTTCAAAGGATATACTATACACACTTTGTATATTTATTCCGGTGTGAAAATGGCCTGCATTTATTTTAATCGGTTTAACAGCTCTCAGTGGGTCAAGGTGCCACAATGCAATTAAATATGGCCAATATTCAATCATTTATTTGGACTATATTAGGGTACAGGCAGTTGAACGGAATTCTGAAATTTTATTTAAAGAGTTTTCGTATCCTTTCTTGGTAATAAATCTGTTTATGCTCATCCTAGTAACTTCCAAATGAATTCCCCTAATACTGGCTGCTATCTCCGGGATCGGGCTCAATCTGAAATTAAAGGCCCATCAAGTGCAATGTGGTCCAAGCCATCGGCCCCAGCCTGTGACACTGGTGTCACTATGCAGACCAGACACCAAATTAGCATACATACCATAAAGCAAATTTGATTTCTATCAGGACCACCCACAAGTCCACAAGTAACCCCCTCTGGGCTAAAGAATAGAGCCACTCAGCTGAACGTGAAGCACTTAACCCGCTTTTAGCAATAAAATTAACTTTCCAATGGGGCTTGGGTGGCCGGGAGGATCCGACAGCACGTACAAGTCGAACGTATAGGAAATTAATGGTTTAAGGCAAAAGTGTTTAACAAAATTGGCTGGCGCTGATCCGAGGGGGCTGTCCTGGAAAAGCAGAAGAGGAAACCCTCACATGCACACACGATAAACCATGTAGCCTACTCGGATGGCAGTAAATTCCCGGCGACTATCTCCGCATTTCACTTTATTGGCGCATAAAAACCGAGTCAAACCGAAACGAATACGGAGTGGAGAGAAGGAAATCAGCACAGGGAGGAAGGAAGGCGAAGCCAAGGATGCCAAAGGCAACCCAGATCAGTCTCCGTCCGTATGGATGGCTGTTCGTCCGACCAACCGACCATGGAAGCCGGACGGAGTCTCTGCTCTCGGTTCAATTTGAAAGGGAAGCTGTGCTTAAGAAGGCGTGTAATTGAAACATTCAAAAGACAATTTCCAAGTCTTAGCACAGACACACTTAATGGACGCAAAAGACATGGACAAAGTTAAGAAGTGAAATGCGAAAGAAAAATGCCAGCAACTTCGGGAGGCAGTGCATCCTTCACTGGGATGGCACGGCTTTGGGGGTGAGTGGCAATCAGGCGTGACCGGGGGTCAAATGGATTGCCATGAAATATTCTTACGTCCACTTTTTCTCACCCAGCTGACACCCACTCAGGTTGGTTGAGTCCTTTCTTCCCTTCCTCGTCTTGTTCCGCTTCCGCATCCGCATCCGCTTTCCATTTCCATTCCCAGAAGGTAGACAATGCGTACGTTAATTAAACAAACAGCCAATAAGATTGATGGCACTTTGATTGAAAAACAATTGATGCAACTGTGCGTACACATTAGCATGATATTGGACGCCTGGTCATCAGAGATGCCGGAGCGTGTGGCTCTTATCAGCTGGCGGGCCAAAAGTTCAGGCCCAGGATGCGAGGTCGGAAGGATGCGTGGAGTTGGTCCAAAGTTCGCATAAATAAAGTCCAATATCAATAGAGACACTTGTGTATGTGTAAGCTGATTGACAGCATTACAGGGTCCGTTTCCGTGATGTTTTAATGGATTTTTGATTTCCTCTTGGCCCTTAGTCAGGGGTTGCTTGCTTTTTTTTGATTCCTTGTTTATCGCTTATGTAAACAGGGGAAAGGACACCACTTGATATCCATGATGTTGCGGTTCTCTGCTAAAAGTCAAGGATGGATACTAGTCTAAAGTTCGCCTTACACACAGCACAACATAAGCATTTAAACACACAAATATATTTTATATAATCGGTGGCGCATACATAGTTCTAATTGAAGTACGTTTACATATCATATTCCGCTATTTACAAACACACTACGGATAGTTTGCTATCGAACGAAGCCACAATCAAAAATCTAGTTCTGAATCCGCCAAATATTCGTTGACTCTTCTGAAATCATCTCAAGACTCATGTATAATTCGTAAGCCAAATATGTCTAATTTCTAGCCAAAAAATGGATTTGTTTGGTTTTCAGTGTGGCGTGTAAAAAATTGGCCAGTGCCAAGTCTTTTGTTTGTCATGTCTTTTTGTGGTTCGTATGTGGATTCCTAGTTCACCAACCTGGATGTACGTATAACTGTTTGCATTCATAAGCAAGGTGCCGAAACTCTCTCTAATAAACGCTAAGCGGCCCAATAATTCGCAAAGCAATATTGTGACTCGTGTAATATACTGACATAATTTTAAGCTTACTTAAACGATAAATACTTTAGACACAAAAAATATTAACTCACTACAGCATGGTGCTATAACAATCACAAAAACGCCCCTCGATCTATAAATACTAGAACCTTTAAAACTTTGCAGAATCATATCTTAGTGTTTCCCTAATGTGACATCAATGGAAGTGCTTCGTAAAACAAGTTCAATTTTTCTGCAATCCATTATTACAATAAATATATATCACTTGCGCTAATTTATCAAAGTGTACGATGCCCTCTTAAAGGGCTATTAATTTGGTTTTGCACTTTTCGGACTCCCAGAGTTCCAGCAGATGATCCCGGGAGCTAGGTCCTCGTTCTGGAGGGGTGTTCTCCCCGGAAACACTAGTGGGTGATAGGACTCCGGTCTGAAACATATAAGAGATAAGTGTGATTGAAAATTGTGATTCTAGATTTAACCAACCTTGGTGGCTATCTTGCGGGGATCCAGATTCATGCCAATGTTCTTGGCCAACTTCGAGAGGGGACTCGTGAGCTGTTTCAGCTTGTTGCCCTCCGGCTGAGTGGGCAGGCCCAGCGGCAAGCTGAGATCCCTGGCAGAGGCACTGGAAACGCGGCAGGCAAATCGTTTAAATTCAAACACAACTGGCTTAGCTTCTACGTATTGGTTTATTTTGAGCGTTTTTTGGCCCAAAGGCCAGAGTGTATGTGGTTGTGTATAGAGCAGGCACAAATATTTCGATTTTTGTTCAGTAATACATGCTAATCTTAGGTAATCGTCATAAATACATAGAACACATGGAACGCATAAAAGGAATATAATAATACTTTGAGCTTGAAGGTATAAGATCTGAACAAAGTTAATACGTAAACACATTTACAAATTCTAATAGATCTAGTAGAAAAATTGGCTAATAGACAACAAAAGGCGGGAACGAGAACCGAAAACACATCTACAACCAAAGATCAACGGTAGAATACCGACCTGGACAGGGGCTTCACCCGCTCTTCGTCCTCGTCCGCCTCGAAGGCTTCCTGGGCCTGCACACATATCTGGGGATTGGGCGTTATTGGCCGGATCGATGGAGCATTTTCCAGTAGGCCCGTGGGCAGGTTCACGTGATCCGTCACCGACGTGATGGAAATGGATAACAGGTCCTCGGTAGTTTTGCACATGCTGTCCTTCTGCTCCAACTGCCGCATCTCGTCCGAGGAGGTGGGCGACTTCTCCTTCTGGTTGCCCATCACAATGCCCACCGAGGGCAAAAACGCGTTTTCATTGTAGTTGGACTTGTCCATGGCTATTTCCACATCCGAGTCCACCTCGGGCTCGTACAAGCTGTTATCGTGCTCCTCGGTGTCTGTGCTACTGCCGCTGTTCGAGTTTCGCGGCTTGTGGCCGACAGTGAAAATAGCATTCTCTGCCTCCTGTCCCGATTCAATGTCATTCCCTCCAGATTGTCGCATTACCTGTGGGTTAATGGTGGCTGCCAAGTTACTGGAATGGACCTGTTGCTCCGAAGCTGAGCTTGAGGGCTTCTTGAAAGTCTGGCCAAGTTTCGAGAATTGCCCGGCCACGTTGGACAGAGCCTTAGAGCTGAGCTGCACCAACTGAGATTCTGACCGATTTCGCGGCATGCCCCTGGGTACGTCTAGGTTGGGCACCTTGCTTTTTCTTCGCTGCAGCGTTTCGCCAAAGGTAAAACGCACATTCGTATTTCCAGCATTATCCAGAGCGATGCGGAACATATCCACAATCGATGTCATAGATTCGGTGAGCTCCTCCTGGGTCTTGATTACGTAGGCAACGTTGTTAAAGAAGCGCAAGTTGGCGGAGCGGAACATGTGAAAATAGCCCTCCTGCTCGTCCACGACATAGTTTATTCGCAGACAAAGATGGGCCGGCGCCGATCCCTGGAACATCTTCGGCTGCTGGTGCATGCCCAGCTCTATGAGACGCACCATAGATAGGTACACCTTCTCAAAACGGACGATCTTATCCAGATGCGAGTCGTACTCGGCCACAATGTAGCAGTCGTCGGTGAGCAGCAAAATAGAATCAACCTCGGTTTCGTTGGCATTTCCTGAGCTGTAAAGTATTTTTTTAATAAACTTTCCTTAAGTTTAAAGCATCAAACCAACCTTGGATCAGCGTCGATGAGTCCCCATGTTCCCACTGGATATTGAGCGGATCCCAGCAGCAGACGTCGGCAATCCTCCACAAGCATCTTGGCGTGTTCGGCATTTTCGGAAGCATCGTTCTCATCTGGCGCCGCTTGACCACCTAATGCAGTGAGCAATTCAGAGGAGACCTGGTTGCCCAGCATCAGATCGATTGTGGCCTGCCGGTAGGAGTCCTTAAAGCGAGCTAGGTAATAACTGAAAGAGCCAAAAATTTATTAATAATCTTGTAGATCTTCTCTTAGAAAAATAATAGGCGGATGCATGGATGACTCGTAAAAGGATAAGGCATATATTATAAGGGAAGAGTACCTTTTGAGAAACAAGAATCAAAGAATATATAACAATTGGAGCAACTAAAAACTGTAACTGCATGGGCTTGATTTCTTGGCCATCGACTCCATCTGTGGATCGCCTTTGAACTGCGCACCTGGTCACGACGAGGGATTCGAGCAACTTCAGCTCGGGCCCCAGTACCCCAGGATTATAATAGCCGCCCAGTGGTGGCTTGTATTCGGGGGTCAGAATCTGGATAATGGTGGCCAGCACATCGTCCTCCTGCAGCTCATCGGGTCGCTGCAGCTGGCCCTGCATCAGATCGATGACGCATTGTCGGAACGAGTCGGCAAAGTTTTGAATGAAAAAGCTACGAAGAAGTTGGGCACGTAATTAGCTACGGGTTTGTGCATCGGAAGAGATTGTATTATTTTAAATGGATTTGGTTAGACTAACATTCCTCAAGATTGAATATTTTTTGGTTTTAAGGAAATCACAGGTGGTAGTTTTGTTAATTTATGGATAAAAAGCATGCAGCATTAGTAAAAACTAACAGGTGCGATCCGAAACAGAGTGGGAAGACGATAATTAGAATCTAATGACATTTCATGGCTTTTAGACTTGGCGTGGGTTGATTGATTAGCAGCCCCAATGACCAGATACTTGGCGAAAGGCATTACGGACTAGCTATCAACAAAGTAATGTTGATCTACGGATTAATTTGGAAATGGGTCATCAAGATAATGGCTTCGGGAGGCGAACTTCATTTTATAAGTTTTATATGCAAAAGTCTAGAGTGATTTACGAACCGGTTGGCGGAGTTCATGCCGTCCTTCATCATGCCGCTTATATTTCGCTCGCCAGTTCTGGTGTAGTCTCCCTGTGGGTTTAAGATAGTTAATGGGGTTTTAAAAGGGATTTCCTTGTTAAATACCTTCAAAGCATTGGTGCCTGCATACTGTCTGCTGATAACGTCACCATTGTTGGCCCAGAGCAGGCGGAAAGCCGACTTCAGCTTATCAGGAATTGGGGCTTGAGGGATCGAGAGGCCCAACTTGACGAGCTGAGACACCAGGACTGCTTTGGCAATGGCTGTTTGGACTACATTGGTGCGATCCAGGCAATCCATGCAGTTTACCCGGAACACCGACATCTGATTGCAGAGCATTCCATGCTGATCGCGCCAGTGGAAGCCCATGGCGCCAGTTTCAGGGCCCACTGCATCGATTAGGGCAGAGACGTTCTCGAAGCGCATACCGCGGCTGATATTGAAAGACAATTATGTTGGTAAGTAAGAAATATAAGTTATCATCTAATAATTACCAGTAATCATGAAAATCGAACGTTACGTATATAATCTTCTCATTGTTGTACTTAATCACATGCCCGGCATAGGCATCTCCAATCATTTTCTCCTTGCCGCTCTGCTCCACCAGATTCACGATGCAGACGCGGCTGTAGATATCCAACTCCTTGGTGAAGTGCAGCTCGAAGGCCTGCTGCGTTTCGGGCGGTCCGCGATCGAGACGTGGTGGTGGGCGATACTTGTAGCCCGGCTGGCTCCAGTAGATGGGCACCGAGCCTCGTACTTGGGTAAAAGATAACTGATGATGCCTGAACGAAAGTATTTGCTCGGTCTCCACATAATTAGCGCAGTTGCCCTTTTCATCCACACCGCGTCTTTTGTAGCTATTATTAGGGATAATAAGTTGTATTTAATGGGAATAGCTATCGCTTTATAGTACCGAGTTCCAGCGCGATGGCGCGATCTCCGCGAGACTAAGGCCAACGTGAAGCACTCATTCCCAATCACACATGGCTCGACCTGCACAAATCCCTGAATGACAGGAAGTATCCAAGTTTTGTCCTGCATAATGAAAAGATTTTAGTGAGACAGCGTAATAGACCTCTAGGTAACTTACATTCATCTTGAGTATGTCTTCTATCATGTGCATGTTCCAAAAGAATCGCTCGTCCGGCTCCGGTTGACTTTCTCCCGGCTTGGCATTGTGACGTTGAAGGTTGTTGGTTATATCGCAATCAAAGCTAAAGTAGAAGCTGTCCGTATCATCGAAAATCTTGTGGAGCTCCTCCGTGATGCGCCTCTCTATGTTCCTGGGCTCCCGAATTCCCACCGAAGACTTCACCTGCTTGGTGGCCAAAGTCGCCCCTTGTATGGTGGTGTCTTTAATAGTTTTCCCGGTACTCTTAATGGCATCCCATGTCTTGTTCATGCCCTTGAACAGCTTGGTGCTGTTCGAGGTGCCTGTCCCTCCGCTGGAGGACCCGCCGACATTGTTGTTGTTCGAGGCAGAGTGGGTCGGCGTGGACTGGTTGCTCCTGAGGCGGAAAAATGGGAAATTAAATATTGAAGGCTTTGAATAATAAATGGCTGGCTTACTTTGAATGCTTGGTGCAATTGGGCAAGCTGGAGTCGGGTTCCTCGGCACTCAGTATGCATATCGACTTTATTTGGTACACCAAGTGGGTAAGATACAGCACCCCCACTGGGATGGCCTCCTTGATCACCACCAGATGTGGTTCGTAGACATTGGGCAGCGAGATCACACCCACAATTCCATGGGTAATGCCTATGCACTCGATGTCGTCCACGGAGCTGAGGTCCCAACCTGAAATGGTAATAATCATGGTATAATCATCATAGCCAAGCAAACAATTATAATTTCCAAATAATTGGACCTTATTTGATTTTGATTAACGTACGCCCCCTGAACCAGACCTGTAACTTGCATAGCAAATACCCGCACAATGGCCTAGAACTTGGGCAAACTCAAATATGTGGAATAAATACCTGAAAAGCTGGGCGGCACAATATTGACCGCCGACTAATGACGCCCAAGTCTGTAATTTCTCGTTACATATTTGCATCTGGGGCGTTGCGTGCGGCCATACTGCCCCCCTTGGGGTTACGGCTGCTCATTACTGTGCACCCCCTAAACGGCAATGAATGCGTCCCCGCCACCAGGGCACTTGCAGCTAAAAACAGGCATGGAAAGTGCCCTTTACGTGCCACCTACATACGTGCATCCTTGAGCATCCTTGTCGGATGTGGCTTGGCTCCCGAGTTACTTTTAAATTGTTGAATTTTTGACTATATTGTGCTTTAATCTTATCTTAGCATGGACCTATATACTTTTACCAGACAGACAGCAGATAGAAGTGCAAAAATATTTCGGACGAGTGCTGCTTATCTGGAAGTCCACAGACCGGAAGAGTGTTGGTGGCCATAAATTATGTGAAGTCCATTTTTCGTCGTGCGGAAAAACATTTTCGGCAAACAATGAAACTTGTCAGGCGGAGCTACTCCATTGACCTTGGAACAGATTTATGGGCTGCGTCGGAGAAAGGGTCAGGTCACCCCACGGATGATGAGTCACGGACAGTGGTTACTCCTGGGAACCGACCGGCAAAGGTGGAGGGGCTGGAGCAGCTATAGGAGTCCGAGGGGTCAATTAAATACGACAGGTTGCGTGTCAGTGAAAATGATCCAAGTGTAATGGCTGCGCAATAAACAAGCAATTAGAGGTACGAATCCTGATGGCAGGACATGCATCAGAAATTTATTTTTTTTATAGAGATTATTAATAGACACCGTGGGTTGTCAATTGGAAAATGTCAGCGGGGTGCTATTATTTTTATAATTTTTTTATCAAACCAGATACCGTATAAGCTAAGTGCGCATTTGGCGGATGATTAAGCATTAGATACAACGACCTTGATAACAAGGAACCGGATTTTATGACAGTCGACGGGATGTCATTTATGGGCTTTTTCCTAGAAATAAATCATTCTTACTGATTATGAAATAAACTGAAAATTAAGTTAATAAACAAACAATCTTTGTACAAACTTAAACATAAGCTACTAACGCACTACAAGCATATGTATGAATGAAATTATATACATATGTACATATTATATGGAGAGCTCTGCAATGCCACCCACATTTGCGACTTGAAATAACAGCTTCACTTCCTGACTCACACTCCGCATGAATTAAATAATTCACAATTTAGCTTTTTAATGATTTATTAACCTTCATGTAAACGCAAACTGATTCATCCGCTTTGTTTGCATCTCGTAATGGATAAATTACCTGCTTTTATTGTAAACTCCGAGGTCTTGCGATTCCACCAGAGACTCTTGTCCCTTTTAACGAATATGTAGTGGGTATCTGTCTGGAACACCTCCATGATTACTGGTATCCGCGGACCACTATATTTGCGACATTATCCGACTAATTTTTGGTGCAATTGTTTACGAAATTGGTGTAGACAAGCTAATCCAACAGCTGATACTTTTAATAGTGTGCCCAGCTAGCGGAAATGCCACAATAACACTCAAAATTGCCACTTCCACTTCCACAATCGTTTTCCAACACTCTAATTGTATAGGTCTGATAAATTTGAGGCGCCATCTGTCGGCTATGTTGAGCAGCGCCATCTATACGTCTGCATTTACAGCAATGATGGCCAACTTCATTTCCGATGGCGCCACAATTCATAAAAATCAATTTCTTATTTTCTAGATTTTATATAAACTCTGGATTTTAGTTCATTAGTTTCATTAAGGGGTTCATTAAGGGGACTGCATATAGGTGGTAAGGTTGTAAAAATAGGTGGTTAAGCTTTTAAATAATTTAATATTCAATATTGGAGATAAAAAAAAGTAAATTTGTTTAAGCTGCAATGTGGTAAGAGTGGAGTAATGCTTCCCCACTTACTGAAATAATTTAAGTTTTTATATTCCAAGTCCCATTTTCAAGAGCTCTCAAATATTTCCTCGATACACTTTAAGTGATTGTGCGCCTTAGTCGGGGCCTATGGTGATACCAATATTATCGTTTGTTTACCAATTCGTGTCATTATCATCAATCAATTTTTAGGAGGAAAAGTCTGTGGCCGCAGGAGCTTATGGCAGACATTAAACGGGTTGAAGCCACAATTTTGGCGTGGATGAAAAATCGATGGTCCTTGAGCCGTTTCCTGCCAAATATGCTGTATAAAGCATATCTTAGACTCCATTCCATCGGGAAATGAATACTTATTTTAACCAAATAAAAAGCATTTTGTTAATATGCAGATAGAAGGTTCTCCGATGCGGATGTACATCTAATAAATGGTTCAATCAAATTAGGCCGAGGGATGGGCTGAGCTTCAATTTTATGACAAATGTTGTGCGCCTTGATGTGAAAACGATGTAGGCACGTTTTGATACGGCTTTTGCTCTTTTGAAGAAAACCTGTAAGAGGAACAAGCTCATTTATTCCTGCGGGGATGAAAGGCCACGCGGCCAAGGACTCGTTTTCGATGTTAGATGCTGACGAGCGGCGTTCAGCATCTCGCAGTTAATTACTGTAAGTGGTACGGGCAATAGTTGCTAGTTGCTGACTGTCCTCCAGCACCTGCCGCCCCGGAATACGGCTGTCTAGCACGGAATGGAATAGTCAGAGGACTGCCGGAGCTGCCAAATCAAACGCCCTGCCATAAAGCTAAGCCAGCTCATCATTCACGCAATCCATTCATAAAAAAGATATACAGCAAAGTCACGCAGAAATGCGAGAAGCACTGTAGTTCAAATTGAATTGCAAACAAGCTAATCGATCCTCGGGGAGGGAGTGGAATGTCAGGGTCTGTGGCAAGGGCAGGGGCGTGTAACAGTATGTACGCACGTTCCGCCTTGGTCCTGCCGCTGTCTGGTGCTTGGGGAATATGAATTTATATCTTTTAATCTGCGACAGCAGCAATGACTCTCCCAGCTCTGGCCCTGGTCCTGGTCTCTGGCAAAAATAAAAGCGAAATTAAGGACGCAGGACATATTTCAACAAAGCGGCATTCAGATACCGCACTCTGTTCATTGTCCATGTCAAGTGGGCCTTCGGGGGTGTGAAGTGGCAAAGTTCACGGAACCGGGGTGGAAGCGCACTGACTGACATCCTTGTAATTGCATTAAAATGCAATTCGAATTGCCATTCGACCGTCGAGTTTGACTTTTCCCAGGCCACTTTGGCCAGCCAGTCGGAGGTTGTGAGATGGCAATTTCCGAATCGCTGAATTCCATTGAGTGTAGGTGTCACCATGCAGACATCCCTACCCGAACAGGTCCCTACCTCTAGGGATCTGCGTAAACTGTATTGATAGCTGCCTTCAACGCACTTCCCATTTCCTTGTGGTTCGGATCCGATTGAGGTGACTGCCCGAGGACATGTTGAAAGAACGATGTCAGTGGCTAGGGGACACTCATCAAGAGAATGAGACTCAGTCATGGCACTTTTTTGGTTTAAGTTTTAAGAACTACTTTTTAAATTTAATAACATTTATTCTAAATTAAATAAGTAAATATAAACTCCTATAAAATATATAAATTTCTGTGATTGGCGCTTTTAGTAGTTTAATTCCTCAGTTTATAAATTTTTCGAATTTTCCCAAGGCGTACACCCTTGGATTTTTCGCCCTTCCAATGCCTTAGCTCCTGCAATTCACATAGGATCGGAAAAATATATACATTTCTGTGATTGGAGCTTCGAGTAGCTTAATTCCTCATTCACAAAATAAATATCAACTCTTACACATATTTTCCCAGGCTTTGGCTAATTCAAACATATCGTTTTTATTTGAGTAGCATCTGCTATCTTCGATCACTCCTGGGATGTAGCTTTATCTCCTGAGAAAGTCTCGGCACTTGCCACCGGAAAACAGGAGCCACTACAACTACAAACATGACATCCGCCCATCCCCCTTTGGCCAGTGAAGCACTCAACACCGACACAAGCGGATAACAATTATATTAAACAGCAGGCAAAACAACATCGACACAGGATTTGTAACAGGATACGCGTGTAACCACGAAATGGCGAGGCTGGCTGGCAGGATGGGAGGCACGAACAGCAGCAATCGCTACAACGACAAAACACCCTTTCAATTAAATATTTGAAAACAACATTCGGCAATTATACAATTGACACCACCCAAAGGGTGGTTGCACCACCCCAGGAATCTCTCCGAGTCCGTCTGTTCCGACTACAACTTCATCAATTTGAAATGTTGCCAAACGCGTGACTTGAAGGCACACGCGTCAATTCTCCCCCTGGCCGCAGGGATTTGAATAGCCCAAAAAGGCAGGCAGTCAGCCAGGCGGGCTCATAAACAACATCAACAACAAGGACAAGTTGTGCGCGTTTAACATTAGTCAACATGAACCTGCCACCTTGCCTCCCTGGCCTGGCTTTCCACCTTCCAAAGTGTCCTTTTGTACATTTGCTGGTTTTTTCAGCTTTTTTTTTATTGCCGCCCCATTCGTTTGTCGTTTACTTTTACGGCCAAACATTTATTTGGTCAGAGAAATCAGTGAATGTTTCGGCCACCCCCGACTGCCGACCTGGGGTTAGATATTTTAATATGCATCTGGGAGAGATTTGGCCGGTGCAGTTCATCCGACGGCATCCAAATGAGGTTCTTTTCGTTTCAATTTGCCAGCCGACTTCCCTCACAAATGCGTGAAAATTTGAGAGGCCAAACAGGCAGCCTGTTGATGGGATTGGGGCAATCCCAGCCACGGCAACTGTCCAGTTTTAGTTGAATTATTTATGGGCCAGGCCCGAGTTTTGACATGCCCCGAAACGGGCGGAAGAAAAATTAGGCAGAAATCAAAATTTACCCCGAAGACCACTTACAAAAGGTCTGACTGAGAGTCCAAATAGAATAGCTCCACAACAAAGGTCAACTCCTGTTGTGTGGCGAATAAAAAATGCAAATGCTATGTCCGTGAAATGGACAACTGGGACCTGGAGCCTCCCCCTAAAAAAACTAAATCCTCCAACGGAAAGAGGTCGGACAGCAAATGAAATGGGCTTCAGGTTGGCGAGCAATTTGAATACCTGAAAAGGAGGCATCTTAAACGGACGCTGGAGACAAGGTCCTGGCATCTTTTTGAGGCTACTTGATTGGCTTTTTACGGAGCCTCTTCCCTTGTACCTGAAATCGCGGCATCCTGGCATTTCCTGACCAAGGACTTCATAGCAAGTAATTAATGTTTGCCATTGATTTCCGGTGCGCAATAAACGACAAGCCGAACAATTTTCACGCCATAACTCTAATGGAATTCAACATAAATTTTCCAGACTTTTCAATATTTTATTAGACCTTTTGGACGGAGCGTGGCTATAAAATTGAAATGTTTTCGGCCAGACTCGAACTCTGGCAGCTCCGACAGTTCCATCAAAGTCGGTGGGGTACTTTTTTATGGCGTTTCATTGGTCGGTTATAAATTTGTGTGTTCGGCAATAAATACCAAAATAATTCTATCAGAGCCACACGAGCGTACGTGCAAGGTTCAGCCATCCTGTTGACATTTGTGGGTTGGGTTGGGCTGTTGGCAAAATAAAAAAGGAACTCATCCACCCCAAATCCCATTCCTACTTCAGGGCTGACCATCGAGCATTGCTCTGGCACTTTACACAGTTTTTATTTGCTGCTGATGTGATTTTGCACTCAATTGAAAAGAAATTCTATTAAATTTTCATGACAAACCCAGTTACATGGCTTGCCACTCCGTGGGACTTGACCATCTATTGAAAACTCATCAGTTTTTAGAAATTCGAATGATGTGCAAACGTTTAAAATGGCCTTTTATTTTTGTTATTTTCGAATATATTTTAGATTATTTTTATGGAAAAATCTTCCTAAAAAAGTTTTGGATGGGGCTCTACTTTTTTCTTAGCCATTGTCAGAAATAATTCGTCCTTTGATAAGGGTTAGAAAATTAACGCAGCTGACAGGTAACAGAACTTGGCTTTGGCATATTGTTTTCAAGATTTGGACTTGAAGCAATTTCTGATTACGGTTCTGTGTCTTTGATCTATTTTTTAGAATTTAAGAATTCAATTAGCTTCACCGCTTTAGCACGATAATATCTAAATTGTTTTGTGAGCTTTGAAAGTATAACAAAAACTGATCCAAACGAATTGTGTACTTTAACGGACAGGCTAATGACAAGTTTAATCATTAGTTTTCAGCACAAATGAGGCTAGCTGCCATTAGGGTGCTGTTAGTTTAGGGTCGTTCCCCGGAACCCCGATACCGCTCTATATGTTTGTGTATGGAAACGGTGGTGTACTCCACCGAGGGGTTCCTAGTGATTAGCGCACTCCATTTACTCCATTTTTAAACTCATTTAGCGGCGGGTCAGTGTGTGGCATTTTTAATAGGCGACTATATACCTGGTTGTATATGTATATACCTGAATAGGGGGAGAAATATTTTAGCGGGGAGAGAGGGAGACGACTAATGACAGTTGGCAGCGAACAATGGCCGCCCTGTTTCTTTTTTATAACCGCACTCATACTCATATTGCGGCCAAACAAGCTCGTACGTTAGTTAAAATTGTTTTCTTTATGACGTTTTTATGACTGCCGTGTGCAGGCTGGGGCGGGCTGGCAGTTCGCCATAATTAGAGAACCCCTGAGGCCCATACATGTATTTTGGCTTTACGGCGAGATAGCGACTCATATTTAATTTAAACGTCCCCACGATGGCCGCTAATTATTCGCTGTCACTGTGCGCACAGTGCATCCGGCGAGTGAATGGCCGGAATGACTGAGCCGCTGAACAACTGACTGACAGACGGACAGCAAACTGTCCAACTTGTTGTCAACTCTTTTGTGGCCTTAACTCGAAAATTGCTGCCACAGTTGAAATGATGAAAAACTAATTTGAAAAATTGTGCTTAGCTTTTCTCTCTCTTCTAGCATTTGGCTCCCGTTTCAGCTTCATATAGCCTTCTCTTCAGGAGCTCCATTGGCGAGCTTAATCCTTTTCAATCTTTCTATAATCCAAATTGACATGTACATGTGCAGACGTACTGCTCCCGAAGTCCTGCCTCGCATCTGTAGCTCTATCTGGGCTGTATCTGGCGGCTGTCTTGTTGACCAACCGCATTCTGTTGGGGCTGTTCGTTTGTATTTTTCATACTCGCATCCACTTTTTTGACTGACACACGCCCGGTCACCCCCTGGTCACTTCCAATTTGTCTTTCTTTTTCAGGGGATTTCGACTCCGAAAACTTTTGCTGCACTGGCTCGGCCTGCCTTGGCCATTGCCCGGTCATCCCATTGTCCAGTTGCCCGGAATCGACCCATATCCGTTAGCGTTTCCAATCCTCAGCCCAATTCCAATCCTCATTCGAGGCCCAAGCCGAAGTCATTTCATGTTGTATTACACTAAGTGGACACAAATAGATTGCTGTTCGGCCTCCAACCCATACGCCTGTCCACAACTTTGCTCAATAATCAATCAAACCTGGAGTTTTGGATTTTGGACTTTTGGAACTGGAACCTGGAAGCTGGGTCCCGGGGCAGCGGACGACGCAGTGGCCAATTAGACCCAACCCCACATGCAATGCCACACAATCGATGGGGCCAAGGATTCAAACGAATCGAGTTGAAAGAACTGAAGGGGGGGATTATCCTCATTACATACAAAATTTGATTCGTTCGTTGGCCGCTGGCCGCTGGCTACAAAGAAATAAACCCCAGATTGTCCAATTAAACGCAATTTATGCGGATTTCCAAGTAGCCCAGTTTCAAATTGGGAGCACGCACTCAGAAAAATTCAATTAGTTGAGCTTTTCAGTTAATATTATGATGTATTTAGTAATAGGAAAAGTATTAACTATTTTGCTTCACTCTCCAATTAATAGTGATCTAAAATAGTATGGTATACTAGGGATAAAACCTTCCTTTAAAATATGGTATGTTAAGTCTTATTCAAAACTTAAAGTACCATTCAAAAGCTTATAGTTTTGCTAAGTGTAACTATAGCAGCGGCAACTGGCCAAATTAAAAAGGTGTCTCTGCTGAAGTTCAAATAAACAGCGTTTGATCGGCCCGGCGTCTGCAACTTTGTTTTCGGGCGCCGTCTTTCAACTCTTTTTTGCCCGAAAATCGTTTACTTCCGCACAGGCGGCCACCGACTACCGACCGACCACCGGCCAACTTGTAGGAGTCAAGTTAAGGTCCTCTTCGATTCGGGACCGGGACCGATCTCAGCGCTAATGTGACAGCGGGCAACACTTTAGAGGCGGTCCATAAGGAAGATGGCCCTAACTGTAGGGCTACCTGTCCAGCGGCGCCTGTTTGTTTTGCCTTCAACTCAAAAACACGTAATATATTTATAATGAATGGCCTCGGGCTATTCGCCAGCTAATTGTTGTTAGTTTTTCGTGGACCGAGCATATGGCGGATATTTTTTGGTAGCCGAATCATTAGCACGTCGAAGGGTATCCGGTTAAATTGCAAGTTCCTATCTAAATTGGTCTACACTATAGAAACGCCTCTGGTCTGTCAATGCCTGTCTATAAATCATCTTCCTTGGATAGTTTCGACTATTTAAGGGTTGGGACAACACCTTTTAACGGTGGAAACCAACCGGAAACATTAGGAAATTTATCGGACTTCAGATTTGTTTTATGTTGGAGGTAGTTTGGGAAAGAAATATCGGTTCTGTATTGCCAATGTATATTAAACTAGCCACTTCTTTAATTACCCATCTAAATACGGAATTTCAGAAAACAACATTTATATTCTTTGATTTCGTAATGTGTTTATTTTCATTGCTTTTCTTGTTGGCGCTTCAATGATCATACATATATTTAAGGTTCATAATTTATAATACTAAGTAATGCCAGTTGACTTAAGCCTAGAGACAAATATTACAATTACAATACATTACAATCGGTATATAATTTTTTATATTAAATATATTATTTCTAGACCTTTTGAGATGCGTTTTGCCTTCGATTCAACTTTTTGAACAATAACTAAGAGTCTAAATGCAGCACTACGAAACACAAAACAGAAATTCGAAAGTCTACACAAACTTAAAGCGCTAGTCCAGGACCTCCAACTCCTGGTTGTGGGTTAAGTAAGCGTCTCTACAGAGTAAAGCTACGTATTTACAGGTGGGAGTTGGGGGCTTCTCTCCTCCGTCCCCCCCTCCTATGTACAGTGCGAACAGTCCTCTGCTCGAGTGTTCACTGTTCATGCTCCTCGAACTACAGATGTATGTACAAAGCGAAGTGTATCACAAATAAACCAGCTGCCGCCTACTTGTCGGCGATTAGCATCCCGCCGCATGCGACGCCTCCGCCCAGGGCTGCAGTCCATGGAGCGCCGCCAGGGGCGCCCCATTTACACCCCCCTGGGAGCTCAGAGGCGCCGCCGGAGGGGCAAAGCCCTTGCTAATGGCTTCCGCTTGAAGAGAGAGCATCAGCCTGTTGGCAGCCTGCCTTTCCGCCTCTCGTTCCTCGGCTGTTTGACGTCTAAAATGGAAAGAAAAATGATAAAAATTTTAATATTTTTTATAATACATTTTACATGTTGGTTATATAAATTAACATTCTTGAAAACCCTTTAAAATACTCAGTTGACAGATTTTGGAATAATTTTTCCATCATAAAAATAACTTTTCCACCAATTAATCTGTACATGTGATTTTTAAACAGTGATTATCCCCATGAAGCTGAATTATTTCATCGCTAAACGTGAAACGAATTCAAACTTTAATAAAGTCCTGGGTCATTAAATCCATCAGCCGACAATCGACGTGAATGATGACATTTAGACTTATCTGTTAAAGAGTATCGCTTAATGTACATATTCATTATGGAAAATCAATTTGCGAGAAACTCATTTCAGCCCATATAGTGGCTAGGTCGGGGTGGCCCAGAAGCCCATCAAGTCATTATGTGGGCGGCCGATTAAGACCATTTAAAACTAATCAAATCAAATATGCTGACTGCCACACAGGTTCAATCAGCCGTTATCTCCGTCGATTGGTTTGTTTTTGTGGAAAATTAATTTCGAGCCGAGTGGAGCTGCGTAAAATTGCATTTTAAATGTTTTGTGCTTAAAAGGGATTTGTGCCCGCCCCCCTGGCATTCGGTCGAGTGTGCCCTGCCAGCTGATAAATTATTCACTGGCCATTGCATTGCAGATGCAGTTGTCCTGCAGTTTCGGTTCGGCTTCCCTCCCCCCGCACTTGCGCAGCATTTTGCTCTAATTGTGGCCATGGAGCTGGAGCTGCCACCACCACCATCGGAAATTGCCACCACCACCATCGCATTTGGGAAGCTCCAACCACCCCCGCAGAGCTAAGGGATGTTTGTGCGCCATCTTGAATATTTCATGAGCTAATGAAGTTCTTATGTTGCCAGCTGAACAGCCTGGCGGAAAGAGTTGCTCGTATCATAGCCACAACTACCACGCACATATTAGAATAATTGTTTAATATGCTTTCATTAAGGCTTTCATCAGCAATGTCATCGTTCAAACTACGGTCTCATAACTAGCCAGCGAGCCCATTAAAAATTCATTAGTCTGGGTATTTAGTGCAAACTTTGGGCCCACAAATTGGAATAACTAACATGGGTATCCAGGTGTCCCACTAAAGGATATGCCTCATGAGCCCATTCCGCCATTTCGTTGGACCAACTCCTTTCGGCGACTTAACAATTCAATTGTCTGTTTTTGGCAGAAAGTGAGTTATTAGGCGCCTTGCTTTTACTTTTTCACCTTTTCGCCCTCAACCTGGGATAGCCTGGCATGGCTGGCTCTATCTGGCAACATTTTTAACAGCTACCGCATGAAAAATTCAACGAAAATTGATTAAAAACTCCAAAACGGCAAAGCAAACAAACGAAAGTGGCTCTGGGCCGGCGAGTGCGAGTGTGTGCGAGTTTAATTTGCTCTTCGGGTCTGAGACACGATTGTAATTTATCTCCAGTCACGGAGCTGGAAAATGCTACAAACGCTTTACAAATGTTAAATGTTGGTCTCTTGGCGCCATCGCGTTGATGTGGAAAGTTTTTGTTGCCACCCGAGATAAGTAATGGCCGGGCATTAGCCTAAAATGTTTATTAAAGCTCGGCACATAAATTTTCCAATACTCCCTCGCCGCCATCACCGTTGATTTTTCCACTTACCAGAAACAGGGCTTAAAACTGTCTCCGGCAACTGGCTGTTCGGGTAATTAAAATCATTTCACACACTACACGCAAACGATGTCGGCAAATCGAGAGGCTGGTTTCCTGGCCCGAAAAAGGTCCTGCGGTAATTATCTTTCAAGACATAACAATTTAGTCAGGCCATTAATTGACTGCCCAAGGCGGACCAAAGCCCCCAAAGGATCCCAAGGGACTGGCCAACCGCAAACTTGAAGATTTCCCCCACAGGACACGTGCCGACGTGGCGGCCTAAAGAAGACTCCAAGCTAATTTACAAATGGCTCTCGCCATTGTAATTAATTTTATTTGATTTTTCGGCAACGGGCCGCAAAAACTTTGCTTTCAACCAAATTGATTTTGGCTCTGTGGCTAAAGTTTTGCCTGGCATGTGTGTAAATTTTTAATTAGCCAGCTTTCAGCAAAGAAAGTTTTGCATATGCCGGGCAATTAATATGCAGTGAGTTAGTGACTATGTTTTCCCAAGGTTTTCCCCAAGAAAAGATGCGGGATGTGAGATGGCTCGGATATTTGGGATGATGAATGGGCGTGTAATTAAAAAGGGGTTTAGCGGCAACTTGATTTATGGCACTGTTACTAATTGAATTATGTATCCCAGAAAAGGGCGAAAAAAAGCTCCACCCAGAGCCAGACAAAAGTCAGACTTGGCCATTTGTTCTTGTCCAGCAAAAAAAAACACTTCCACAGGGATTCAACGCCAGAAAGTGTGCTTCAAATCCAAACAATCGTTCTTTCCTCTGCTTTGTATTTTTATTTGTGTCTGTATCTGTATCTGCTTTGTGTCTGGATCTGGGGTTCGTCGGTTTTTCTTTTTATTTTTTTGCTAAACACATTGTTAGACACTGACAGGCAACAAGAATTCATTCATTTGGCCGCGCATTTGTTATTATTTATTGATGGCAAGTTGTTTGGTGTTTCTACTCAGTAGAATCGTTCGAAAGACACTCAATAACAATACTCGTAATGAGGCACTTGCCTTGTCGCCAAACAAGTTGCTATTTATTAGGAATTGGCAAAGAAACGTCTTTATGCAATCGCTTCGTACATAAGTTGCTTAATGGGCATCGCGCATACGCCATGTTGGACAGGGCTAATTATTCAAATTACTTGCAAATGCAGCGCAGTGTGCATTAAGGCAATTATGTGAACACATTACACATACCCTGGATATTTACGAGTTATGCTAACTCGTAATCATGGCGCTGCTATAATGTGCCATTGCCATTTCACTTAACCGCAAACGAGCCGTGGCCGAGGCAGTTGCCGTTAACAAAATTGCGTTTTACATCATTAATTTTTACGAGCTGGAATAGGCCCAAAATGGCTGATAAGCCGACTGCCAAGAGGACTGCCTGACTCGACAACTGGGCCTGCTAAGCGGCAATTAACGCGTCTTGGCCGCCCCTGCCCCGGCGCCGGCCGCCGGTTCTCTGTTCCCTTCCTTTCTCCTGAGAAAAGTTTGAAACTCCCGTCCATTTAGCCGCCATTTGCCATCATTATTATTACGATCGTGGGTAATCGCTTATGAATTCATCCCGCCCTGCCACCTAAATTCGTCGGCACTAATTATTCCATATCCGAATACTTTTAGTTGGCAGTAATAAAATAGAAAACAATTTGCCGCACGCAAACGCCCTCAACGCATCAATGCCCCACCAAATTAGTCAGTTCCACCGAGTTCCAATTTCAAATAAATTGTCATTTGCATACGACTATGAGTACACGTATTTACCCACATGTGCATATATATATTTACTTATCCAAACAACTTTCGTTGGCGGGCTTATAAATCAAATTTGTAATTGCCGTCTGACAGCTAGTTCTAGATGCGTGTTAAGTAGAAGCTTCTACACGGCAGCCTACACTAAATATGCAAATCCTAATAACACGATATGTAAATGAACTCTTCAGTGAAAGAAATAATTGAATTTATGGAGTTTTAGAAAATAAGATTGTTAAAGTAATTTTAGTTATTTAATACTAATTGTTCAACTATAACTTTTTGGAAACAATAAACTTTTTTTTATGTTTATTTTATTTTTAAAGAAACCTTTTGAAGCTCTTTTTATTTATAAAAAAAACTGCTCCTCCTAACTAAAGAGCAAACATAGTGCTATCAAAATGTACCTACCCCTCAGGTAAGCCTCATAAATACACACCCCTGTCTTTGGGGCTGCGAGTGTTGCTCATTTAATGTGCTCATGAATTTTGTATTAGCCATTTACTCCCCGTTTAAGCCAGAAACTCCGTTCTAGTTGGGGTATATCATTACATCCATTTTCTTTGTTGGTTAAGGACTTATCTTATGTCTTCATTATATATTTTAACATTTTTTAAAATAAATTTATTTTTAAGCTTTGTAAAAAGCTGTTTCTAACCAAGACTTGTAACTGATTTTACCCTGGTTACAATTTTAAAGAGCATTAAAGGGTCGGCTATTCTTTTTTCAGCGCTTTTCCTTATTTTTCTTTGTAACAAAAAGCCCTTTGTGCATATTGTAGTTTAAAACAGCTCAGAAAAGACAAAAAAAATCCAGAAACAGGGGACCATAGAAGAGGGTAAGTGTCAAGCTGTCAACACTTCCAAAGTTTTAAAAATGGGAACGAGGGATGAGCATGGGTATTGATTTTTTGCCTCTAGCTCAGCTGGGGGCTTTAAACCTGCGGTCGAAGGGGAACGAGAACTCACCTCCACTTGGTGCGTCGATTTTGGAACCACGTCTTCACCTGGGCATCGGTCATCTTGAGGCCCCGAGCCAGAGCCGCTCGCTCCGCGGAGGCTAGATACTTTTGCTTGTGGAATCGCTTCTCCAGCTCGGCCACCTGGATTCGGGTGAAGGAGGTGCGCGGCTTTTTTCGCTTTGGCGGCGTGCGATTCTGGTAGGGATGTCCGATCCGTCGGGCAATGGGGAAGGCAGCTGTAATGAGGGATAAAGATAAGTACTATTAATCTGCTGGCTCTCCTCTTCATAAAAGACACGTATCCCTATTATTTCCTCACTGTAGTTTTATGAATGTTATGTATAGGAATACACCGCTACCAAGCACATCCCCTCAGTGCGGTGTGTGTCCTGGCGGGCAATTAGCAAACAATAAATTCCTAGATAACTGGCCGTTTCCGAAACCGCTTCCGGAGTTGAGTGGCGGCACCTGTGCCACAGCTATTTAGAGTACTTAGCGCTCCACGTTACTCGAGGTCTGGTACCTGCTACGCGGCGAATTGTACCTGTTACCTGGCCCTCCCGCTGTGAAATCAATTTAGAGGCCGCTGACTCGCTGGCCAGCGCCTTGCCTAATTGCCGGGCCTTGAGGTTTCGGGTCTAGCGGTCTGGCCATAGGAACCCCTTATCAGAGCGCCTTGTAGACAAAGCACGCGACATCAATTTGGTCTGGGCTGAGTCATAAAGTCGCGCTCGTAGGACGCGCGTAAGTGACCCAGTGTCCGGATCCGGATCCGAGTCTAAATCGGAATCCCAGTCTGGATCTCAGCCAAAAACGGTGGCTGAGCCTGCACTGGCGCTGAACCTTTTAAAATTCCTGCCAGTCGCCTGTGTGTGTGCTTTGTTGTTTATTGGGTGCGATAAGGCGGGCAACAAAATATTGAGGCAATCTCCCTAACAGCAACACCAACGACGAAGCCAACACCAACGGCAATTAGGAAACCGGCTTAAAGACTGAACACGCTGCTCATGGGGTCATGCAAAAAACTAAGCAAAAGTCTTGTGAATTTCTCTGAGATATTTGCTAGCTGTCAGGCGGTCTTTTGGAGAGATTGGATAAAACAACAAGAATCTGCTAAAATGTGTCATAAATATTCAAAATTGTAAACCCAATTTGGCCAATGAACAAGTCAAATAAAATGCCGAATTCTCGCATTTTTAATTAGATTTGAAAAGATGAATGCAACCTTCATATTTTCCATTTGAATGATTTTATAGATTGATTTTACACATTCCCAAAACTAATAAAACCACGCAGATAAAAGCTGTAATAATTTACTAGAGCATAAATGTCGAATAATTTACAGCTCCAAATTGCTTTGGCCCCAATATTACCCAATAGTACCCCCGTAAAACTTTCTAAAATATGAAAACCTCTTTATCGACTTTAACTAGGCCCAACTCCCATCGAAAATTGGCTTTGGAAAATGGCGCTGGGCTGTCAGGAGCCATCAAATGGCAGCGAATGTATGGCGGGTGTTAAGCTGACAAATCATGCATCTTATTGCCAACATTCACGGGAACCCTTTTCTCCTTTTTTTTCCCGCCCCAAGGCATAAATTTCCAATGGATTTTGGGGTCATGTGGGTAGCCGATCATTTGAATATTTCAGGCAATATCAATTTCAATAAAAAGCCATTTATCGCACCACATAAGCAGCATCCTTATGATTTTCCCACACACAGGCGTGAGTGGGATCCTTTAAGGATATCCCGGCTTAGAGGGAGGAATAAGGCGCATAAGCATAATTTTATGGCTTTACCGGCATACGCCGGTAACGTTTATTTATGATGTTTTGGCTCAAGCTCACATAAGTATCTCGCAGATACACATTCCCCGGCGGTGTGCGTGTGTGTGGTTGTGGCCAAGACGCCTCTCCAGAAATACGTAAAATAATGCAAAAAGCTTTTAGCATGCATTATTGATGGCGGCCTGTGGCTCGGCCTGGTTTCCCACCCTCTTAGTCTTGGCTTTTTAAGGAGCTGCTACACTTTGACCTTTGCTACTGATTTGCCATAAAACTATGAACTAAGTAAACTTTTAAGATACAATTTGGAAGAGTGCAAGTAAGGTTTTAGGTAAGACCGATTTTCAAATCAGCTGAAAGCCATGTTGCTTCACTTTCCTATCTCTGATTCCTTGTCCAGTACTCCCCAATCGTGTGGGCAATTGTCGTGACAAAAGCCCAACTCCCATTTGGATTATGGAAACTGTTGTGAAACTGCATTAGGGGCCCCGCTTGGCCGAAAAGTAATTGGCGCCTGCTGCGATGTTGTTTCCAAAAAATAACGAAAATTAACATGCAATGGTTATTAATCATATGGCGCTAAGAGCTCTGGCAGGGGAAATACATAGAAGGGAAATAAAAGGGCAGGGGCCTGGGCGCGGGCTCGGAACTGAAGCCTGGTGGACGCTCGTTTGTCTTGTTAATGAAAAAAGCCAAGGCGCCAGCTTATCAGCCACAAGGCAAGCGACACAATAAACACAACAAGAGACAGACGACGACGACTTCGACGAAGATGTTGACAAAACGAAACGGTCCGAAACCGGCGGCCGGGATCACCCGGCGGCCTCATAAGTGTGCCTCTCTCAGGTGGACTAGGCGGATCCGAGTGGATCCCCCCGCCTTAGGCACTACGGATGCATCCCCTTCGGCATTCGGCATTCGGCTGGCTAATTAAAAGCTGACCATGTCAGTTGGACTCAAATGTGAATGTGAAGTGCGGTATGCGCCGATAAATAAATAAATAAGCCGGCGAAGACAGAAAACTCACTCACTGGCTGAGCCCTGCGACCGCCCAATGCGTAATTAATTCCTTTTCGGGCTCAGCGCGAAATTAAAAAGTCATGTAAACCAGCTCATTAAAATAACTAAAAAAAAATAAAGAGAGACTCAATGCCATGCCGATGCTCTGGACGGATGTTGGCCATAAAAGCTCATCAGATTGCTCCTAAGCCGCTTTTCCACATGGCCGAAAATTCTCCAAATATTATGATCTATATAGGGCCAAGGGACCCTGATCTGGAGGATCGATAGCTTGGCTTGGCCAGGCTTGGATGCCTGGCTACCGAGGCGTAATAAAATCAACGCCGTCTCATTATTTCAAAAGGCTCGCGCTGTGCCCCTCCGCTTGTAGCTACAACTGAAGCTCATAATGTAAACAAATTAACAAAAGGGAGTCCGAGGAGCCCTCGCCGCATACAGATGCATATGCAGATGCAGATACTGGCTCAGATGGGGATATCCGAAGACAGATACAGATACAGATGCGTATGCGTATGCAAATAAGCAGTCCATTCCTGTGTCGCTTCTGGGCGGTGGCTCAGCGTTAAGTTTTTAACTTAAGCTGCGATTGCGCATTTGAAGGCAAACATGTTTTTATACTTTAGCATCCCAGGAGGGTACACTGAGGCAAATTGGAGAGACATTCAAGAAAAGGGTTTCAAATAGGGATGGGTTAATGGTTTGGATGGAATTTTAAAGCTATAAGATAGCTAGTTGCTCTACCAGTAGTATTATGTGGGTTGTTTCAAAAAGATTCATTTCGGAAAATATTCTCTGTGTATAGGTCTGGAGGCCAGCCCTCCAGTGACATGCCGATAGGCTTGTTCCCTTAAAAGACTTCTGTGATCGCGCTTATTTGGGGAACAGTAGCAATTGCCACCGCGGGTCATTAGGGGAGCAAGCAAACCCCTCGGACATGGCCCACCGCGACATGGGGCCTCCTCCCCACGGACTCTACTCCTTCGATTTCGACTTGACTCACCTGCCAGCCGATCCTTGACCGCCTGATGGGCCAGCGCCGCGTGATGCAGCGGCGGCAGTGCCCAGGTGAGCGGCGTTCGCTGGGGTGGCACACGCAGAACATGGCCCGCTGCTGCTGCCGCCGCCGAGGGGTACAGATGCGGATACGAGTAGAGGGCTGCGGCGCTTCCGTACGTCGAGTTGGCGATGCTGGTGGCCAGCTTATAGGCGGCCAGGTCCTGATCCTCGGCCTGCAGCAGCTCCTTCTCTTCGCCCTTTTCTCCGTTGTTGTTGTTGTTGTTGCTGGAGCCGGGACTGGCGCTGTGATTATGGTTGTTGTTGTGGTGGTGATTCGTCTCGAAGGGCTTGGATAGCAGGCGTGATATGCTGAAGGGGAGATTCTCGCTGGACGAGGAACGCGTCTGCTCCGACTGCAGCGACTCACTAAGGAAAACGAAAAGAAATGACATCGAATGTGAGCAGAGAAAAAGAATGCATATAGGCGCGGGCTCATTAAAAAGTGTCGCCCGATAAGCGGAAAAGCCTGAGAACATTGGTAATAATTAATACTGGACCAGTTCCGAAGCCTCTGGCCAGAAACCCACGCAAACGGATAAGCCCCGCCAGACCTGTGCAGAGATCGTGCGGCCAACACTGCGTATACGCAATGCGGCTAAAAATTAAGTAATTATGCAAATGCTGACGGCCGTTAGTGACATTTAATACGCGCCAATAAATCATCGGCCGCCATCAGGTGACGCACTAAAAACAAGTCACGCACAGCATTTAATTTAAAAGTCCAAAAATAAAAGCCATTTGGAAAAAGCCAGTAATCGTATCGGAACAATGATTTCAAACTGCCAGATACACACTTTCCAAAAATGAATAGTTATAAGCTTAGTATATTCTTTTTCCTTTATTTGCTACGAGTTTTAGCCATTTGGTGCTCTAGATTCCCTGGAACGCCTGTTTTATGGCATTTTTATGACATGCTCTATTAAAATGTTAATCCGACAAACGATCCCGCCTTTGTCTCGATCTCTGGCCAAGATCGAAGCCGTTGGGGTCCATTTGGGATGGTCTTATCAGAGCGCGTTTTTGGCGCCTTACTAATGTGCGTTTTATCGTCTCGATCCATTCGAACTCTTTCTATCTGGGGACTATGTAAATTCAGGGAGTTTCTTTGTAAGTTTATGGGACATTTTTGACTTGATTCTTTTGGTGGCATTGTAGTCAATTCATTAGCGTTTAAGAGGTTTGTTCACACCGTTCTTCATGCCGATCGACGGCATGAATGGAAGCAGTTAGCACGGCCTTTGCTCGACATTCTGTCAGCTTGTTAGCCCCCTTTGTTGCTCGGAAAATAGATGTTTTGTACGTTTGTACAAAAGAAACTTTGTCCCTGGTTTTTAATTGCGTTAAGCCTAAATCGAAGAATGGGGATTTGAACGCTTTGTTACAGCGATTTCAAAAAACTATTAAATTGTGAGAAATATGAACTCATAATAGTATGGTTTTATAGGTTTTCTGAGCATAGTATTTCATAGTATTTTGAGTAATAAAATTTTAGAGCTTTGGAACGAATTAAATCAGAAATGAATACTGTTTCAGGTCAGGTTATAGTGGCAATTTTGAGTTTATATATTTTAGGAAATATTTCCAAAGGAAATTATCCAAATATTCACTCCATAAAATGTAGCTTAAAGTGGTAATGGAGTGAAAAATCTTCCATGTAGTCCCTAGAATTAACTCCTACCTCAATGGCGTTTCGGACTCGTCGTAGCAGCTGCCGCCGTCCATATCCACATCGGATCCGCTGCCGCACGACATCCGGGAATCGGAGTCAACATCCACATGGATCTCCTGCTCCTCCACATCGTCGCCGTGCTCGGTCTCGTGGTCGTGATCATCTTCCTCGTGGCTGGACATGCTGCTAACCAGTGGCGCCAATGTGGGAGCCTTCACTTCACTTTCTCGGAACTGTCAACCAGAGTGCGGCACAATTCTAAATATCACTCTTGATAATTGTTAGCTTTTCGGTGGCTATTTCGTCACAGTGGGTGGCACACACAGAATGTTTAGTTTAATCGATTTTGGATTTTATTTGCGCGGTTGAACGCGACTCGTCTCGATTTGGGATCCGGACTGCGAGCTGCGATTACGGCCACGGATATGATTACGGATCTCAAACTGCGAACTGGGAGCGGGCGCGTGCTGGCGGGCGAAAACGTTTTTCATAAATGCAATCAAAATGTGCCGACGGACACTGGATCGCCTCTTTGCTGCTCTGCCGCTGCTGTGCTTCTGCCTCGACTGCTGCTGCTTCTGCGGCTGCTTTGGCTCCGGAGCTGCTCGTTGGTGGTTCCAGGAGGATGGTGGTTGGAGTGAGAGTCACCCCGCCGGAAACAAGTCAAACTGGTTGCCTGCCGCGCCGACTGCGATGCTGGCGGCGACTGCGGCGTCGACTTCCTTCCTATTTCGGTTAACGAGCCAGTTTGCCACCTTGTTTGAACCTAACCTACCATAATTCCGCCACCCGCCCCTGGCCCAGCACCTGTTCCTTCCTCTTCTGGTTGGTCCGCCCATCTCGCCATCCCGCTCTGCTATCGCACATGCGCCGCGTTGCCTCTCGCTCGTGGAAACTGGTTTTGCTCTGCCCGCCGATGGGCAGCACTGGCCGGTAATTGGGCTCCGGGGCGTGGCCTAGCCCGCCTGCCATTGGTTCCCCCTACAACTGGGGGGCCAGCTTGGAGCTCGAAGCGCGCTTTTTGGAGCCGGGAGAGCTGGCATTTGGCGTCGACATTTTAAATGGAAAACGTTTTGCTTTTGGGGTTTTTTATTAGACGAGAGCATGAAGAGAATGTATTTTTATTTTGATTGTTTCTATTTTCGGGTTAGCCAAGCGTTTCCAGCCCCCGCACCTCCCCCCTGCTCCCTTGGCTATTCGGGATGCCCCCTCTATGGAAACATTTCGCACTCGCTCTCCATCTCACATCTCGCTCGCTCGTTTTTAATGGAATACACGGTGCGAGCGAGGTGGAAAAATCGACTCTATTTTCCGACTCTTTTCCGTGAAAGTGCAAATGTGGCAGATTAATAGCACAATTGGAAATAGCGTTCTGTCAGCTTGAGTTCACAAAGCAGCGGATTTGCCAACGGGGGCAGCTATGACTGGGGGAGGGGACTTCTTGGCCCCAGCACCGTATTGCTAATGTCCCTGACTACTGCTGAGATCTTTATTAGCGCAAAGTGTTCTAGTTGCTATCGCCGGGCGTTTGGCATTTGGCAGGCGGCGGTTGCGATAAGAGAGAGTCTGGAGCTGGAAACCACACGAATCCAATCCATTTGCCTTACCTATCCTCTGGCCAAACTATGCAAATGGAAATTGCATCTTCTGCCCGGCCGGCGGATGCTTCAGCATTGGTATTTTCGCTCAAGTTCACCCCACGGGTTAATTGGCACTTTTCTACGGCGACTCGGGCACGAGCCACGTTCTTTCTGGCCAAGATCTCAGGTGTTGCATGAGCCATGTCTTCGAATCCGAATGCCAGGCATGTGGCGTGTGTGGGGCCACAAGTGGATGTGCGGATCCCATCACCACATCCTCCTTAGTGGGCGGTGGTTACAATTAGTGAAAGGACTATTGACTAATCAATAGTTAGCAATAGTCATAGTTGTTTAAAATTTGACATAGTCGTAACTACATAGTCTTAGTCCTATAGATTTTTGAAGCTAAGCCATACTACTATATACCTTCGTATATACTTTTAAAGGAAGGAGAGGGACTAATCAATAGTAAGCTAAAGTCATAATCAGTCTTTAAAACTAAGTCCTTCTACGAAATAAATGCTACATGCATCATATTTGGACTTGTTTGTAATATATGTACATAACATATAAATTATTTTGTTCATAGTCCATAAAATCATCAAACTAGCGTTTTTATTTACCTCAATTGCTCTCAACCAAATCTAAAAGTTATTTTATTTTACCACTTACTTAAAATTTGAATCAAGTCCTAAAAATGACTATTATAAATATTCATTTTTGCACTTATCGTGCCATGTTTCTGTGTCAGACACGAAAAAATCATGGCCAAAAATGAAGAAAGCCAACAGGCAATTACTGCATACTCAATTGCCCACGCACACAGATCCATGTACAGCCTCACAGAAACGCGGATACACAGATACCTCCATACACGCACATTCTACAGAAAAGGACATTGGAAAATTCACGACGCGAACTCTCATTTCTTCTCGCATCGCATCGTGGTCATGGTTGCTGTTGCTGTTTCTGGTAGGCCTTGTAGTCGGCTAATTGGATTTCATTTGAACAACAATAACAACAACAACAAGAACAGCAAAAATGGCAAAACAATTGCCATAATAAAAACAACAAAAAGAACAACAAACACATTGCCTCCGTCCATGGCAATTGTAATGCAATTTTAATGCAAAACGAGAGGCGGCCAACATTTTTATTGCATTTTTACTTTTATTTCAGTTAATAGCAGGCAGCAACAATAACTGCAGCAACAACAAGAAATTGGTGCTTGGTATGAATACGGAATGATGGCAAGACCACCACAACGATTGGCCAGGAGCGGGGGATGAATCTCGAGATGGGGGCTCCAGATGGGGGAAGGTGGATGGCATGGCATGGTGGCATGGTGGCTTGGTGGATGAAAATTAGTATGCAGCAGCGCACTGCAGTTGGATGGCAGGCACACCAGCATCCGAAGAGGCAAAAGCAACCAGAACAGAATTTAACTTAAGTGTAGTCCACATAGATACACTGGGAGAAATAACTATGGCCATAATTGAAAATATATTTAATATATTTTATATATATATATTTAACTATATTTATTTATATTTTTAACATTTTTTATAAATGCCAAAAATGTATAATTGGATTTTCTCTAATTAATTTCAGTGTATGCACTATAACTGGTGCAAGCCTCGGTCGCAGCTCCACCTCCGTTGCGAGTCTGCCTCCAATGTTGCCAGGACTTGCCACTTGACTTTATTGGCAACTTCATGGAATATTCAGCAGCAAAGTTTGGCGCAAGTGCCTCCGAATAATATCGCCTTCAGAGCGGCTCCTGCTCCTGGCATTCCTGGCAGCTTCGCCAGCTTCATTTCGTATGCATTTTTATTTGGCTCATATACAAATGGCGGAGCACGACGCGAGTTGATTTCGTTGGCGGGGGCTGCGATCCAGATTGCCATGACAGTGGCGCTGGGGAGCGGTGGGCAGCACAGCCCTACCCAAGTGTCACTTAAAATGCCAATACTGATTATGGCTACCACTTTCTGGCAGCGCCCTTCTCATCTAGCTGTCTCGGTCGCAGGATGTCGCAGCAAGGATTTTATGTGCGGCCAGGGCTTGGCTATTATTGGTGACAGTTTTACCTTTATGCGAATCTCTTTCGAATGCACACGTGATGGGGAATACTTGTTCGAATGTAAAGGTATAGATTCGAGTATTCAAAACTTGAGATAATTATCTTATCTTACATATTGTGGATACTAAGACATCGTACATAAAAAATAAAGTACATATACAGACCAGAATTCTCGTATCAGAACACTTCATTGAAGTGATTTCCCCAAGCACTTAGAATTACTGCTCAAGCTCAGTTCCTAGACCAAAGACGTCGTGATTGTTTTTTGGAATCCGTTCAGTCTGTCCTCACTTGGATTCGATTAGGGACTGGCCCAAAATGGTTCGATTTGGCTCAATGCGTGTGTGCTTTTGTGTTGGCGAATTGGCCACACAATTTGCCAAGCAATAAATTAACGCATCAATTATTGATCAGTCCGTTGTGTCTAAGAGGTTTTGGCCACTTTTCGAGGCGAATGTTGAAAAGAGGACAGCAACCCACGTCGCTGGTAATTTGGCTCAAAACAAATCTGAAAGTAAGTAACACTGATTTCCAGAATAAGAATAGATACTCTTATATGTATAAATATTATTTGAGTTACATTTAAGAAAAATACACAATTAATGCTTTCAACGTAAAATCTTCTAAAAGAAATATAAAAATTATAAGAGCCATAAATTGGCCATCTGGAAAACCTCAACCCCAATAAGGAGTAAGATAACCAAATTTAATTAAATCTAAATGCATTTCCATTATGGGAATTATCTTAATAGAATCGAAGGTTTGTCTTGTCCATACATTGTTTCTAATTAATTTCGCCCCCATTCCCAAACCACTTAATGGCCAAAAAGGAGCTACGGATTTTTAGGGTTCCGCACACACCATCAAGTCGGTACTTACACAAGCTAATCTAACCATACAGAAATACTCGAGTTCATGTATGTTGCATGTATATGGGCATTTTTAATAAGTATCTGATTTTTTTTCACGCATTTTTTGCCAGCGTCTTCCTCACAGGACTCTTCCATCTGGGGAGGAAAACAATGCTTTCCCCTTTTCCCTCCTCTTTTGGCCAAGTCGTTTTATAAATTAAATATGCCCTCGCGCCATTCAAGTCGAGAGTTTGAGCGGCAAACGCAAATTTGGCACAATTTTCGGGGCCGGGTTAAATGGATTTGGTGCGGTAGACCCCCGTGGGTGGGTGGACTCCCTGTCTTTTGGGGGGGACTCTGATTGCAATTGTCTGAATGGGCGACACACCGTTAAGCAGTTCATTTGTAGGCAATTTTCGTGCGATTACAAACAATTTCCGGACTGTGTGTGCGATTAGCTTCCGAATTTATGGATCATTCCCGCCAACTTTGCAACGGGGGAGTCATGATTTTTATTGTTCCAAGTGGTTTTAGATGGAGGGGGAATTGTTTCGCTTTAAATAGGAGGGAGTCACGTTTATACTGATTTAATGTAAGTCATAAATTTAATGAATACGAGCCCGATTTTATTCGAAAAATCAATTAGTTAACAGTGCATACCAGGCATA